GGGGCCTGTCTCACCTCCGGGGGCAAGATGTTCCAAAGGGCGGGGGCTACAGCAGAGCTGTACACATAGCTCTGTTACATAAAATACACTGATGTTAACTTCATACATCACCTTTTCTCAACCTGATGACCTTGAGATAAGTGCATGTTCAACTCTTAAAATCCCTGGGCCAGCATAATCATTGGGATAAAGCCTAATGTAGTGGTTGTCAACTTTTTTTCCTGGGTCATTACAATGTTAGTGAAAGTTTTTGAGAACCACCATATAAACCAGGGGTAAGCAACATAGTGCTTGTGGGTACTATAAATATATGCCCATGTGGCATCTGCAGGACTGCGTGTGTGTGTGTGTGTGTATATAAATAAAAATAAAATAAAATCACTAATACTTGCAATTTTTTGGTGAAATTGGTGTTCTTACCAAAATCTCATGAGATTTGAAATAAAATTTAGCAATTTTTAAAGAATGTATTTTCATTTTGTTGCCCACATCAGAAATTACTTTTTCATTATCCATCACCCTTATTTGAAAGGCAATCACTTGAGAAATTGGTGCATCATGTGAAAAGTTGTAGCCACTTCTTTCTTTCTAACATAACCCTAATCTACATTTTCATTTGGCTAACATGGTACCTGAAGTCTTTGTCTACAAGCTTCAAAGGGGTGCCAAAGTAAAGAGCAAGCCTTGCAACAGAGATTCAGGACAGTCTTCAGAGATTTTCAGCAATGGCTGGTCAATTCCAAAATCACCACTGCCAAATGTTTTGATGTGCCTCAAAATGTCAACGATGTTGCAGCTAACATACAGAAAATACAGGTAAATTCTTCAAATCCGATACAGCATTTCCAGAGCATTGATAAAATGCACTTAGTGGAATGTTTCTATCTGAACCATGTTACAGCATTATGAAAGGAATCTGAAACCGAAACCATTATATACTCTGTGGGCCTTGGCAATAAGTTAATTTTCCATAGCATTTTCTAATAAAAATGACTATATTCAGATGGGTGAGCTAGTAAATTGATGGTTGTTTCCCCTGTTTTCTTTTTTGAAGTAGCTGTGAAGTCAAAAGATTATGCTTTCATTGTAGATGGAACACAACTTGTCATGTTATCTGAATACAGAAAAATTATGGGTAATTTTAATGTAATTATGTTTAGTAGAAACAAGCCAGCCTCAATGCATTGCTTATGAAATTGGATTACTTTTACTAAACTTCATAGTTAAGATTTACTTTAGTTTGGGAACCTATTGTACCTGTGGGGAAACTTACAGTTCTCTCCATGAGGAAGAACGAGTGAAGAATGAGACCCTCTGGTGAGATTCATTTTTGAAAAGCTAAGTTATATATAAGTTTCCTATGTTCTGTGGAGCCTTCTGACTCACACCACAAACACTCATAGATTCTCCCTTGCCCTTAAGTATTATTCTGCACAATCATGATTCTGCAAGTGTAGATTGTATACAAGGATAACTTTCCTTATGTGCTTTCTTCCCTAACGCAGCTGGGTTCTTAACAGCTTACAGAATAGGTACTTGGAGAACCACTGAGAACCCAGTATTTATTTATGTTTGCATATGAGCAAAATGGGAGGAGTATATGTGTTCTGTCCTCTCCCAACTCTGACCCAGCACTGAAGTGTTCCCTGGACAAGAGTGTGGCCTTCAAGCCCAAAACATTTTTAATCACTGTATTATGCCTTAGTGCAGGGGATTTGGAATTTCAGGGAGTGTGACAATTTTATGCACTGAGTTAAATGCTTTTTTTAAGTTCAATTTGTTCACCTGCAGTATTGTATGTGGTTCAATGTGTGATTCAAAAATTAGAAATTAGACTTTTTCATCTTCAAATGTGATATTACTTTTGTAGGGTGTGCAAGCATTAATCAAACATTTCCTAGGTGTGTGGGGCATAGAAGAGATTGGGAACCACTGCCTTAGTGATACAACCAAATTTTCTTTGTATGTATTAATGAATGCGATAAAGAGAATTAAGCAGGATGGAGGTTTCTATTGATATAAATAGAACATCAAGACCTAAAAAGGTAATTAAAATATGTTTTTAGATGGAGAGTAGGATCTCCTCTTTCAGCTTCCAATAGTTTGAGAGGAACTTTCTACATCCTCGTAATAGGGTACATGAACAGCATAAGTTACAAGTTTTTACTTGTTAGGTTTAGCAAATGCTGTGTTTGTACATATTGCTTGCCACTTTTATCATTAGTCTATCTATGTGTGTATTTTGGCTTAGGAATTCTTATCTGAAACTGAAACTGGTCAACATAAATTAAATTTAGTGGTGTCCAAAGGAGAACTGTTAAGTTCTATACTACCTAAAGAAAAAGTTAAATCCATTCAGACCAAAATTGTTGCAGCTAAAGAGGACTGGAAGAAATTTATTTCCACTCTGCACCAGAAGGAAACAGCTTTAGAGGTATGAGATCAATTACAAAAGAAATCATCAATTAAAACAGCTTTTTGACTTTTCATTCTAAATGTACTTGTGCTTAATTCTATATTAAACCTAATTGATGGACATTATATTGCTTTTATAAGGTTTTTAAAGCCATTTTGATGTTGAGCACTTTTAACATAAATACATTTCAGAAAATACAGAGAAGAATCTCTGAGAATGCTTATTAAAGCCAGACAGTTTCCTGAAATATAAAACTATCCTTATAGATAGGTACTCAAATTCCTTTATTGTGTTTTACAGATTAATAACCACTGTTTGGATTATGTTTGGAATGGGCTGGGAGACAATATAGCCAGTTAATATTGGGAAGATACATTCCATATGTCTGGCCAGCCAATTTATCTTTTAATTAACTAGAGATTCTGAATGAACTTTAAAGGTAGTCTTATGTATATTCTGATTCAATAGTTTGGGCATTATCAAGCCAGTCAGTAGGGAATATTGGTTCTTCTGCCTAAGCAAAGGAATATGTCATCTGTAACCTGAGCATCCCATCCATGACAACGTTGGATCTGATAGCACCTCTGGACACTGAACCTTACAGTGAGAATACTGTATTCAGAATTATAGGCTAATAATGAATGCCCCCCATCTTGATGTTTTCCTAGAATTTAAAGGTCCAGATGAAAGACTTCGAAACAAGTGCTGAACCTCTTCAAGATTGGTTAAATAAAACCAAAGAAATGGTGCAAGGGAGTAATAATAATCTGCATGACCTCCCCACTAAAAGGAGAGAGCATCAGAAACTACAGGTAATATTAAGATATGCTCCATTCTGTTTATTTAAGCATGTTTTGGGCCATAATATTTCTTTAGGTCATGTTTTAGGTCCTTATCTTCTACATAGGCTGATTCAGATGATCAGTTGAAAGCATGGCCAATGACCATTTTATCTGTTGTGGGAGAATCTGGCAAATCCCGTTTCAAAGTCCAAATCTTTTTGAATAGCAGACTGTTCAATACAGTACTGCTGTGTGCTTTATTACTGCAAGGGTATATTTAATTGGATAGTGCAAAAAAATAAAATAAAATAAATCCCCTACTCTTCGCAAAGCAAAATGTTCACAAAAGGTCCAGGCAATATCATGGAGAAAGAAGGTGGCCTTATCCACGTTTAGCACTTTGAGAAACAAAAATTTCAAAAGTCATGGATGTATCTGCAGCTGACTCATTTATTTATAAAGTTTTTGACTTTATAATCACAATGTTAAACATGGAACCCAAAATAGCACGTGCGGGAGAGAGAAAACATTGATCAATAACAACAATCCAGGCTTCGCACAACATTTGTAACCTTAATTTATTTATTTATGTCATGGCCATTTTATTGTACTTTTCATTAACAAACACTGTGATTAGATTGCTAAAAAGCTGCTTGAAACTGAAGCACTGTCTGGAGGAAAGTTATGTTAATCTCCCTTCAGAAGAAATAATTACACATTTGTCACACATCAAACTGATCATCAGGAAAGGCTTAGCATGTCCAAGTCCTTCAACAGAACTTTGCTGATGACTACCCGTCTACCTTCCTTGCTGCTTGATTTCTTTGTGGCTTGCTTTTTTTTACATTCGTACTTAACAGAAACGTGCTTATGCTTTGCAGTCTGTCCTTGAGGAAATAAAATGTAATGAGCCTCAGCTCAACAGGCTAAAAGAAAAAGCTCAGCAGCTTTGGGAAGAACAAGCTGCCAGCAAAAACTTTGTGCACAGAGTGTCTCAGCTATCATCTTTATATCTTGCTCTGAGCAATCTAACAAAGGTAATGCTCCTATCTCAATGTGCTTTTATGCAGCAAATCTAGTGAAAAATAGAAGCTTGCCTTCTGAAATGCTGTGTATCTGTTTATGAAAAGCTTTCTATCTGTGTTTTAAAAGCAGTGTGGTTAAAGGCAGGATTGTTAAAAATAGTTATATACCCATGACGGGGGACGTGAGGTGTTAGAGAAAGATTTAGCAAACCAGTATTTTATTGCTACAGGATTGTTCCTCTACATTTGTGGAATGAGTGGCCATTCAGCCCTAGAGCAAGTAAGAGAAACATTATATTAAGAAACAGGATAGACAGGTTGTGTATCATTTTATGAGAAGGAAATATTGTGGACTTTTAAATTGATAAATCCAAGGCCTAACCAGCAGAAGAAAGAAGAATGCAGTGCTCATTTAATGCGTGCTCTCCCAAATGGTTATAGAATAGAGATCTTGGTAGGTCACCAGAGTGCCATTCTGTTGATATATAAATAATGCATGTCAGATTAAATAAAATTTGCATACTACATAATTAGCAAGGGCATCCAGTGTGTAAGTATCTTTAAAAAATATTTATATTATATTATTTGTACTGAGAACGATAAAGTTCCATAAAAAATATTTATATTATATTATTTGTACTGAGAACCATAACTTCTTGTCACATGTGATGGTTATAATTGCAACAAGGATTTTAAAAATGCATTTCTTTCCATTATGTCAAACATGGTATATGCACATTAATTATTCGGGCTGTGCAGCACTTTGGATTTGAAGACCAAAAAAATTCAGGGGCACTTACATAGCACCTGTTTGCAGCTTATTAAAGCATTAATAAGCACCATTTTTTTCCCAGCATCACACCTCTGCTCCCCACAGCTGCATTGCAGTCCTCCCAAAATATGTGTTTGGTGTAAGAAGTTGCAGACAGGTGCTACAAGAACAGCCTGTAGTACTTCCAAACATCTTTTTGCCCTTGAATCCAAAGAATCACACAGCCATATTGATAAGATATACCAAACTTGTACCATAGTTCCAAGCAAATTTCAGTTCTGGATTCAGAGTAGTAAGTGATATGTGAATCCTAAAGGAACACAAGGAAGGAAAATTTGGGCAGTTAAAATTTTGCCCATTGACTCATCCTGAACTTAGTGTTCTGAGATTTCCCTTTCTGATTTTTTTTTTCAACTCTAGTGAAATGATAGATTATCTGAATGGTTGGTAATGTTAACATCTGTATGAATTTAAGGAAAAGGTCTCCAGAATGGACAGAATAGTAGCAGAGCACCAACAATTCTCTCATGGACTGAAAGAGCTTCAGGACTGGATGGCAGATACAATTCAGATGCTTGAATCTTATTGCCATCCCACAGCAGACAAAAACGCCCTTGACAATAGAATGGCAAAGCTCGAGGTAAGCAAATGAGATGGCAAAGAATCCTACAGATCAGGAGTTCCATTCTAAATATTTTTACTCATTGGTTTACAGGTAGTCCTCAACTTATGACCATTCATTCAGCGACTGTTCAAAGTTACAGCAGGGCTGAACAAAGGGACTTATGACCTGTGCCCAAAGTTACAGATGTTGTAGCACCCCCATGGTCATGTGATCAAAATTTGGGTGCCTGGCAGCCTGCCCACCCTTAGGACCACAGGGGCACTTCAATTCCCCCACCTGCCTATCTCCCCCTACGTCTATGCTCTTTTGGCTACCCTACACCCTGCCTTGCAGGGTGGCAAGCAGCCCCAGAACCGCATGGCTCTTGGGCTGCAAGAAGCCCCCCAAGTCATAGCTGAAATAGTTGAAGATTTATTCAATAAACTGTTTGCTTGTTTGCATAAGAGACACTTCTGACACAAGCCTCATTTTTGAGACTTGTACATTTACACAGAACTGCCTAAAAACTAAACCATGCAATAGCAACAAATATATTACTGTATGTAAATAATTTCATCCCATCGACAGTTGATTGCCATAGTTGCTATAGCTCAAGACCTATAAGATCTTCCTTGCTGCTGTTGCATTTCTTCCCACTAGCTGTATTATCATGTGATCTAAGTCTGCCATCAAAGCAGATTTCACTAAAAGAATCCCAAGAGCACCAAGACAGTGGTAGGTAAATAAATTGGATTCTAGGAGACTTACATAGTTTACAGCTCAGCAAATAATGGATTAGACCTTCAACCTGAAATTCTCCACAAATATAGAGATGTTCCAGAACTGATATCCCTCTGTACCTTCTATACAGATATACTGAAGGCATTGGTTGAATGTGGATCTCAGGAAAGCAATGACTCAGGAATAGTTTTATTAGAGCCTACAATATACTGTAATTATGCCAACATTCTTTGATACAGCTTAACAAATAAATCATGCTGAGCATCCCGTGCTGAAATTTATATCTCCATCCTGGAGGGAATCTTTTGCAAACAGCTAGTCCTTTAACCTTGATGTTTGGGCTATACACTTACTCCACTGAAAGGGAATAGCATTCAAAATACTATAAGAAATTCTACACTCAGCCTTTGCTTTAAGTTGGTCTCTCCGGCATTGTTTAGCTAGGTGTGAATCATGCATATCAACACAAATCTTTTCTAAAAAGAGGAGGATTGCCTGGATTCTTCTGTTAGTAATGTAGATCCACTTCCATTCTCAGCAAGGCAGCTTGGTGGAAGAGCCAGGATGGTTCATATACATTTATTCTGAATCACTTCCAACATACTGCTTTGTCCCAGACCCCACATGCAAGACCACTCTCCTTTTGAAGATCTTTGCTACAGGTGCACTAAATGATTTCCTCTGCGTAAAAGAGAAAGAACAGCAAGCATATAGCATGTAACTGTTGTTGTTCAGTCATTAAGTCATGTCCGACTCTTCATGACCCCATGAACCATATCACGCCAGTCCTTCCTGTCCTTCACTGCGTCCCAGAGTTTGCTCAATTTCCTGTTCATTGCTTTGGTGATGCTATCTAACCATGTCATCCTCTGCCGTCCCCTTCTCCTTTTGCCTTCCATCTTTCCCAGCATCAGGTTCTTTTCCAAAGAGTCCTCTCTTCACACCTTGCATTTAATATATGAACTTTCCATGACAGAGACATTACTAACAGCCCCACAATAAGACTGATGAGCTCAGGAAAGAGCATGGCTGGGAAACAGGGTGGATGACATACAAGCATCATCCCTAAATTGTGCCTGGTTACCTTAGGGGCTTACACCTGGCCAAAACAATAGTGTCTCTAAATGGTTGCCGTCCCACCTCCAGCCTTGGGGCTCTAGCTGCTAAAGAACCTGATTCCCAAAGGGTAAATCTCCAGCAGGGCTACATCCCTGTCCTCAGTCAATCAGTTCTCAGTAATATGTACCAGGTCTGTACTTTCTGAAGTTTTGATTATTTTATTTATTTATTTATTTAACACATTTGGGTTCTGCTTCCCAAATTAAAATCTCAGAGTGCTTTATAGTGGTTAATATTTTATACTGATTAATGTGGTTTCTCATGTGGTTACAGCTACCAAAGTTTTAAAAACACACACACACACACCACCACCACTACCTATGCAAGACATCGGAGTGCACTTTTAATTGAAAAAAAATACTGCTGTGTACAGGAGTCTCAGTATCCTTTCATAAGTGCTGAAACACCCAGGTATCAGTGAGCACAACAGATATAAGACTGCTTTATTTCCAGAAAACTGTATAAATATTCTTTCTGAAAACTACAGTTTTGTTAAAGGCTACTAAGAGTGCAGTCTACAGATCGATGAGTGAGACATATGCAGACTAAATATTAGCCAAACTATGTTTTATATGAACATATAATAACTGAACCTCAGCAATATTTTTTCCTCTTGAAAAGCTGATTTGGAAAGATTAAGAACCACAAAGGGGGAACTGCTTAATTTTTTTCATCTTTGGTATGACTCCATTCAAAATGTTTGCTCTAGTAGCATTTTCCCCAGCATTTTCTAAAATGAGAAGCTGTTTGAAAAGCCCTTAGAAGAGAGTGAGGACTGAGGAAAGTGAGGAGATATTTGAACTCATTTCCACTTTATCTGCTCACTTCTTTGGAACATAGTTTTTCAGAGGAAAAAAGGAAAATTGGCTACTTCGGACACTTTTTTTTAAGTAATATATTTTTTTATCCCACCTTTATTATTTTTATAAATAATTCAAGGTGGCGAACTTATCTAATAATCCTTTTTCCTCCTGTTTTCCCCACAACAACAACCCTGTGAGGTGGGTTGGGCTGAGAGAGTGTCTGGCCCAAAGTCACCCAGCTGGCTTTTATCTCTAAAGTGGGACTAGAACTCACATTCTCCTGTTTTCTAGTCTGGTGCCTTAATCACTAAACCAAACTGGCTCTCTTTTTTTATTTTTTTAATTAAAAAATTACATTAGTTTTTAAAAAATTACATTAGTTTTTAAAAAATAAATTAATTTTTAAAATTAAATTTTATTTTTATTGATTGAACAGTATATTAGCTGATATTCAGAAAAGGGGTATAGGATCACAATAAGAATAGAAACAGGGTCTGTTTGCTTTTCAGGCACTCCTTTCATTGAAGCAAGAGAAAGAAATTCAAGTGAAAATGGTGGTGACAAGAGGAGAATCTGTTTTGCAAAATACATCAGTAGAAGGAGCACCTGCGATTGAACAACAGTTGAAAACTCTTAAGGACACCTGGGCTTCCCTCTTGTCTACTTGTATCCACTGCAAAAGGTAAAACACGATATGGGTATGAAAGAATTTATAAAATGTACAATTATATCCTCAGCATAACAAACAGGAAATAGTCTATATCTGTGTTTTTTAAGTGTGGTCCTAGGACCCCTGGGGGTCCTCCAAGGCCCTCTCAGGGATCCACAAAATCAAAATTATTTGCCAGCCTATGTTGAAAAATAATATAATATTAAAATCCCATCAAACGATCATGAGAAGCGGTAGCTGTTCTAGAATCTTTTTCCTTTCCCCTTTATCAAAAGAATACTAATTCAAATGTTGTCAAACAACACGTATCCACAATCAGTTGCTCTTGATCAGAGATCAAGTATACATTTCTCCTTGTTGTGATGGATAATTCCCTTAGATATCTCCCTGAAATCCAGTTTTTGCTTTTTCACTAAAGGACCAAACACTTGGGGCTGTCAGTGAAGTGAAGTAGCTGGGCTCGTACTCACACATAGAGACAGCCAGGACAGTTTTCAAAGTAACACCAACAGCCTTGCAAATAGCAGAGTTGCTTTAATAGTACTCTAAGGTGGAGTACTTCTTATGAATGCCTTGTACATCTCTAATATATAATGTACAACATGTTCTTAGTATATATAAAACAAATAGCACCATTTGTTGATACTATATGTTTAAAATATTTAAGTATTTGGAACTAGGTTATTAAATTATTCTGATACAGATATAACTATATGTATTAATTTTAACATTTCAGCCAGCTTGAAGGAGCTCTCTCCAAGTGGACAAGCTACCAAGATGATGTTCAACAGTTTACTAGTTGGATGGACAAAGTGGAAGCAATAATGAATGCCTCAGAAAGACAGTATTCCGAACTGAGGGAAAAAAAATCTTCACTCAGCAAATCTAAGGCTTGTAGAAAGTCTATCCTTAAAAAAAATAATTATAGCAGCATTCTCAGACAGAACAAGAAATGTTACATTCTTCTTTGAGGAGTTGCTTTCTCTTGGCATACTAAAGTCTATTTTTCAACTGTGTGAAAAAGCTTTTTTCTTTAATGTAAACAGCTGCTATTGAAAAAAAAATTTCTATCTGTGTTCTAACTACATGTGTATCTTCAGAATAGAACTTAAATTTTGTGCTTATTATTGTTTAATCAATGAATGTAGCATTATTATTATTATTATTATTATTATT